AGCGTACCGAAAAAAACGAACAAACGTTTAAGTAGACCGAAAATTGCACTGCAGCAGCAGCAAATTAAACAATCAAAGTTGCAGCGGCGGAAGAAACGTCTTGGGCAACAACGAACGGCAGAAAATTTCCAACGGCGAAATTTATTTCGGAATTAAATTTTTTGGCCGAACCGACACGAATAAATTGCTTTTGTGTTGTTGATCATTTTTATAGTTTTTCACCGAAAAAAAAAGATGTAAACAAATCGCGAACTCTACTGCGATCACGTCGGGGTCACCATGAAAATTTAATTTTCCTTTAACATAATCAAAGCTCCCTTGATTACTAGCAAATTTTCTATGGAAATTACTATTTGGGGAGAAATAAAACAGCTGACTGCCGCTACTGCTCTTAAGAAATGCCTATGATTTGCTTAAGGTTTCCAGTTAAACCTCTGTCCAACATTTGGCCCGCTGCTGTTCTAATCTTTGTGCATTATTGGTGCTCACATTTTTTGTCTAAAATCAGTCAAAAATCGTTTGTAGCCAAAACTAACAAATTCTACTTTTTTTAAAGGCAGTGATGGAAATTGACCAACAAAAATGTTAATAAACTCGTGTGGAAATCAGCTGAGTTGCCCGAAATATTTCAAAAATATTTGGTTTTGGCAGACAACGAATTGAGAAGACAACAACTATTGGACATTAAACGCAATAACCAAAATTGAGGATGCAATGCTAACATTTTTTATTAGACCCGACTTCGGGCGTCCCTGGATTGACCATGTGGCTTTCATTCGTTTCCTGCCAACCGGGTCTTACATTTTGTATTTTAAATTTTGTGCGTGAATCAGCTGCTTGGCACCAATGTTGCAAACTTTTCACAAGTAGTGCTCGGGACCAAAGTTGCCAAAGGCGATGAAAAGGGTCCCAACACAACACGCTTTGAACAATAAGTACATTAAATTAAAGGGTAATAAGAACAAAAACACTTTTAAACTAAACTTAGATAATTACACTTCTAATCATATGTATAAAGATAAACAGAAAAAAGGGTTGCCAAAAATAAGTCCTAAGAAAATAATTTTTTTTCCGTACCATGAGAACCCTTGCTTTGTTTCCATCAAATTCATTCGGATACTAGAACAAGGGCCGCGGATTTGCAAAACTCCAGAAGGTTGGAATCGTAGCGATTCTGAGGTGTCATCACAAAATAATTTTAAATTTTTTACTATTTACCAAATCTGTTAAGCAACATTGTTCTTTAAGAATCAAATAATAAGGTAAAAATTGCATTTGCAGCTTAAGTTATCGCAAATTATTTTAAAAGAACTAATTTCTGTTTTTATGGATCTGAATTCGTCAGCCAAATGCTTGGCGAAAAGTTTCCGTGAGTTTTTTGCGGAAGTGAACAGATAATTAACAGAAGGAACTTAGATTCCGTGCAAATCTTTCGGAAATGAAATTTGGAACAATTCTGGGAAATTCGAATCCGTGTGAATTTTTCGGAAGCGAAAACTGGAACATGGCTGATAATTAATACTAAGTTCTTATCTGACGGTTTAGGCGTACGCCGGAAGCCGCCAAAGTAGTCCTTGAGACAAACGCTAGGTTCAAGACGAACGTTTCTACCCTATCCTTTTTGCCGCAGACTTGAAGACTTGCAGTTATCGATGTCCTCGCTTTGCTCACTGGTACGATGTCCTGGCTCTGCTCCTTGCTTTCTCCTGCAGGGTGTTTGGCTCTGGAATTTCGGTCAGCTGCCGTTCGGGGACTCTAGCAGTGAACTGCTGTGCTCTCGACGCATACGCCTTTCGAGACACCAGCCGATCTAACGCACGTCCTTCCGGGCTAGTCGCACTAGGACCTGTACAATTCACGCAGGACAATCAGGCGTACGCCGGACTTCGCCTATACGATTATTGTAGCAAGGCGGCTAGTTCTAGACAGCTTCCCTTCCGAGCCCACGGTTTCTTGTCGAAGGACTCTTTTTGTGTAACTCTGCTTGACACGCCGAGCCCAAATCGAGACAGAAGTTGGGACAAAGCGCCGTGACTTAACCGTGAGATGACTTAAGGACCTCAGCTACCTGAGTCTCAATTCGGAGACTTCTCTAACTCTAAGTCCCGAACGTTTCGTCGTAGCAACCATGCTCCGCACGACTCCACTTGGTTGTTAATGTTGTTTCATTAATTACTGGTTACTGCTTCCTGCGCTCGGCTTGTATATATAAGCCTCTGTTTACCGCTAGTTATCGGCGTATACTTGCCTCCAGGTCCAAAGTCCACGGTTTTACCGTTCAACCTTTCGCTCTCTGCACACAGCACCACAGTAGGGTCCGAAGTCCGGTGCTGTCCCGTTACTTCCTTTTGAACACGGCACTTCGACGCTCTCTCTGCTGTTGCCGTCTCTCTCGGACTCTTCCTGTCCCTCTCTGTGCACACGGCACCACACTCTTTACCGCACTACCGTTACTTTGGGCGAACTTACCGCGTATCTGGCTCCCGGTAGGACTCTGCTTGTGTGACTGCCTGTACTGCTCGCTTTTATTTGTGGGAAGTTATTCAACTCCTCACAAGTTCCATTGGATATGATTTCTTACTAGGTTAATTCTACCATGTAACGTCTCTTTATGAGCGTTTTTAATCAATTATCCAGATATGTGGCATTGATCTTATTTGATTAGGTTCTTGACATCAAATCGCATTTTTGAATTCAGTGCCACACACTCCTAGAATTCCATTTTTATCTAAAAATGGATTTAGGCCTAAAATTTTACTTTTTGACTCATTTCTTTACCGCTTTGTTAACAAGAAATTTCTACCACAAATTGATATTATGTTGTTTTAATTTGTTGTTAATTAGTATTCTAGCTGTTTTTTATTTATTTACTGGTAAAAAATGTTGTTATGAAGCCTTTTTAACTTTTATAATTTTAAAACATAAGCTACAATATTTTCTAGTTTTTGAAAGCTTGAAATTTGTTAGGTGTTTAGATATACTGTTTTCTGTGTTTGTGACAATGGTACTTACTATTATGTCGTCAACTATCTGTAGCTTGAGAGAAACTTTCTTTATGTTCTGAAAGCAATTTTGGCCCATTCTAAAAACCAACAAACATTTCGAAATTTTGCACAAATGTTTGGGAGACTAAAGAAGAAGAAAACCACATAATAAAAAAATCTAATTAGATGGTTATTTAATTTATTTAACACAAATTCTACGTGGTAACACGGTGCCACTTATTTTTACGAGTAATTTCCTATTTTTAATAGTTTTACTTGATTTTAATAGAAATACTAAAATTTTTTTTTTCTACTTTTTGGTTTTTAGTTAGTCATATTTCTCCTATCATTTTTTGTATATAACATTTTACGGCGCCTAATGCCCTATTTCCACACAATCCATCAGATGGAAACGGTTGGAATTTTCAACAAATGTGAAACTCCGATTCCCACAGAGCCCATCCACTTTCCGATTTCAGCTGATCTGAAAGTCAAAACAAAGTCAACAGGTCAAACTTCTTTGTTTATGATTTTATGAGCCACAGCTATTCAGATCAGCTGAAATCGGATGGTGGATGTGCTTTGGGGAAATCAAAGTCTACTTTTTTCAAAAATTTCAACTGTTTTTCAGTGATGGACTGCTTGGAACAGGGCTGCACCGCAAAAACATCGGCCAACTATCTCTTAAATTGGTCCGTCAAAGTCCGTCAAATTTTAACGGCGGACTAATTAGGAAGTTTTTGGAACGGCAAAACCTCTGGCAGACTGACTTCGTGGACCTTATTGTGAAAGGTATTTGCGTTTTGTATAACAAAACCATTGACCTTAAAGGCAAATCCAACGTCGATTTTGAGAGATCACATTTCCAGTACAACACGGAAAATATAAAACAGCCCGAACCATTTTATCGGGTCATGTAGTTCAAGATGACTTTTGCAACTTTGTGTGCACACACAGATAAAACTATAGTAAATAAACAATGTGATCGCAAAAATTAATGTTATTGTTAGACACACGTATGTAATAATAAATATTAATATACGTACTTGGTGTTTTCAAGGCAGTTTTAACTATTTGCCAATTTCTTTCAGTGCTCAAAACAAAGTGAAATTCTACCAAAAATGACTGCAAAATGAAAAATTCATTGGATGTGGTATTATTTTCGCTACCTAATTTTGATTTGAGCACTCGGTAGAAGAAGAAGTTCACAGTAGACGGTGGCAGTGTACATTTGAGTTTCACCTTTTCACCGTCTTCTCATTGCTCCCGCAAAAAATACTGTAATTATTAACTTAAACTGTAAGTCATTTAGTAATGTGACTAATATATACTAATTATACTGGGTGATACGGCATAAGATTAGAACAGCAGAAGTTGACGGCGGAATATTGTATTACATTTTGGGACGGCAAGTTTATACGCACCGTCATTGACGTTAGACGGTAAGCGGTAGACGGAGCCTAGTGTAATTGTCTATTACACCAAGAAAATTTGAGAACGAAAAAACCAAAAGCAATCTGCTCTTTTTCAATATTTTCAGTCCTCACTTTATCAAGAAGAAACGTTCTTGAAAAGGAGGAGAAATTGTTCTTGTTGTTCTCGATTTCGCTCGATCTTGAACTCGAGAACAAAAAATCTTGGACTCTTGAAATTAGTCTAAAACGTAAAAAAATTGAAAGAGATAAATATTTGGAGAGAAGATCTCTCTCAAATTGTTCGGAAAGTTAGCGTGGTATACTTTGGGTCGTCGTTTCCCTTTACAATTTTCCACCACGGCGCGAGTTAAAGTTTTGTCTTTGTGATTGATTGAGCGTTAAGAATTGGAACCATGGAACTCACAGAAGATGACCGGTTGTTCGACCTAATGGTCGAATTTAAGTTGTTGAAGGCCCAGTGATAGTTACACAGTAAGTTTCGAATGTTTTAATTTACTATTTAACACATGCTTAAGTACAACGAAGGATTAAACACGAGTTGTAAAATAGGAATTTACCGCCAGTGACGCTGCTGCAGTCCATGTATGTACATATGTGTTTTTTTTTGTCCTTTGTTTCTTATTTTCTTACGACTTGTAAATGCTCGCTTTTTGGTTTTGAGAACCAATAGGTTCTTGAGTCCAATCATAGGCGCTCTCGTTTTCAAGAGTTAAACCATTATTGATTTTGAGAAGACTTATTCTGAAATCGAGTATGTTCAGTCTTAAAAAAGCAGTCTTGATCTAAGTAAATGTCTTCTTGATTTCGGGAAATCCATTCTTGACGCACTATTGAGCACGGAAATACTGAAATCGAGACAGTTGAGAACAGTTTTTTTCTCGGTGTACGTTGATGCACATGTATGTTATAATAAATATTTGTATAACTTCATGGTGTTTTTAGTGCAATTTTAAATTCTTGAAAATTTCTTTCAGCTCTCACTCTATTGTGGTAATCCTTGTTTGACTGATCCCAACGTATTGAGCGTATGCAAGCTGCAGTATTTAAGTCTTCCACGTCAATATCAATTTTTTATTATCTTTTTTCATCCAACGAAACGGGAACGCCTGAAGAAACTGCAAGAAGTAACGAGATAAGATATCTAGGCCACATAGTCAGCGCAAGAGGCATACATACCGATCAGGAAAAAATAGCCTCTACATCCTCAACATGCCAAGCCGACAGATAACGAAGCCGGTTCACAGTTTTCTTGAGGTGGCCTCATGGTATAAAAGGTTCGTCCCTTACTTCACGGAACTGGCGCAACAGCTGTACACCTTAGTCAAGAAGGGTTCGAACTTTAAAAGAAACAAGGAGACAGAAGAGGCCGCTAAAAACTTGAAGAACGGTATAACAGAAGCACCTGTTCCAGCTTGCCCTGGCTTTGAAAAGACCTTTGTACTCCAGACGGGACGCAGTAAGCAGCAGCACAGCTCGGCCATATCGCAACGCCGACACCACAGCGCCGAAGCCGTCTATACATCAGATATAGAGAAAGGCTTCTCCGAGACGCTATTGTAACTAAGCTTTTACGAACCTTAGAAAATATAAGCAAACTTAAAAGCTCTCTTTCTCTAGCTGTGTCATAATTGTAGAAGAACCCTGGACACTGCAAGCTATACCGCCTCAAGAAACAGGGTCTAGTAGCACCCGAGCAAATAAAAGACAAATAGACAGTAACCTTGTTTAGAAACACCAGAGATCGTTTACTCCCTTCCTCAACACAACACAAGATAAACACCATGGCGGACCAGTTAAATCGAGGCTGGGAAAGCAACACAAATAAAACCAAACTGGAACTTTCAAGCCAGAAACACTGAGCGAGTACATGCTTAGGCAGATATCGGAGTTCACAAAGAACGGCAACCACAAAGAGGGACACACGCGGTTGGATGACACAGCTGTTATCGCAAGGCATATGTTGGTGTGCTCTGTGGAAATCGGAGTTCTACACTTTTCAAACATTAATTTATTAATTAAATAATTTATTAATTTAATTTTAATTTTCTAGAAATAATTCACAAGCTTTTCCCTACCAACAGAAATTTAAATATGTTTGTATTATTATATGATTAAGAGCTCGATCCACTGTTAATCGATATTCTGACTCTTTTATTTTACAATTTTTTTTTCTTGATGACACTTCCTTAAAGCCTGACTTGTCCTTTTCATTACAAGTCTGCATATCCGTATTTTTTTTATTTAAATATCTGGATTATATTTGACACATTGAAGAAACTATTACTTTTGCGTTCGTTTTCCACGGTTTCACTATCGCCGCTAAGTTACCGATGATAGCTTGACGCACATAAATTTGAGTTTGTGCTACAAAAAAAAATCAAACAGCAGGCTGGAGCCTCTCTAAACAAATCAAATTACTACCTTCAACCACATGTTGAATTGTATTAATTTGGATTGTGTTTAACAAGTTTATTTAACAATAGTATATTAAAAAAGCCGCTGTGAGTAAACCAATATCATTCTTGGTCAAATATTTAAACTATATATGATGTTTTTATTATATATTAGGATCAAAACATGGATCAACTTATAACATCTATGCTTAAAGAACGTAAAAGTCGTGTTCTTGGATTGCGTTTACTCATATGTTACCTTAAGAAAAGCTACATTAAGCTAGGAGGAAACGAACATATTTGGGTGTCATTAATATTTCAATCATGTAATTTGTCAGAGTTACGTATGTATGGTGATCTTATATTTTCAGCAATGGGTAAGTTTAATTTTTGTAGCCTATCTTTTAAGTAATAAGTATAAAATTTGTTGCCACCACAGTCGTATCCAAAGAGCATATGGGAGTAATTTGTGGAGAGAGGCAGTTTTTAAAAATCCTATGTCACTGGCTGTTCCACTAGCATTGGGCCAGTGCCTTTGGCTCGGCTTCATCGATAATCCACTGAATATAATTTTTAGTTTCATTGTCCGAGTCTAGATTAAAACTGACTTGAATCAAGGATCTTCACAAAGGGCCTGCTATGTTGGTTTTCCCTGGCTTATATATTCAACATTTAACTGGGATGACTTATCACCCATCGCCTAATACAACTAATAAACTCATAACCGCGAAATTTTTAGGCTATGATACGGCTAAAATGCTAAAATACTTCAAATTGGCTTTAGTTCGTAGGTACAAACCTATGCTGTTGATAAGGACGGTATTATTCCTTGGGACAATGAAAGAGTTTATTATCGATCTACCAAATATGAAAGATATTAAAGGAGTAGTCCTGTAGTCCTGGAGAATGTGGTGGAGAGAAAGGTACAAGAAATGTTTTATTTTCGCATCTGTGTTAATATAGTTGTACAAACATACTTAAGGCGGTCTTCTGGTCATCAATCAATCAATCAATTTCAAAATCCCAGCGATTTTTCAAAGTTCCTCAAATTTTAACGGCGGACTAACTGGAAAGTTTTTGGAAATGCAAATCCTTATGGACTATCCCTTTCGGATGGTGGAAAGTGGATGGATCTCTGTGGAAATACGCTAAAAAGAGCCGATTTTGTGACGTCCGAGCCAATAGAGTCGTTTCCTAATCTTTAAACGCGTTTTTTGAAAACGTCAAACAAATTAGATAAAAATTTAGTCGCGCCATTTTGTCTTATATAAATATGTCTTATATATATATATGTATATTTTATAGGGTCGGAGATGTCTCCTTCACTGCGTTGCAAACTTCTGACTGAAATTATAATACTCTCTGCAAGGGTATAATAAATAAAAGAACTATACCTGCTGTTTCTTAATGTTTTTTTTCTTCGATATATAGTAATGGTTTATTATATCAGAATTACGGTTTAAATTTCATTAAAATCAGACGACTATATCAAATAGCTCCAATGGAAACAATAAAACTATATAAAAATATATTTTTGAAATGTAACTATTCTATTTTGTAATTTTTTTAATATTCTTTTTGACTTATTATTAATTTGACAGTTTAGACTTCCGCTTTTAATTGTATTAAAATCGGAAAACGATATAATTTTGGTGCCATAGCAACTATCGAATAATTAAGCTGTAAATCATCATAGCTTCAATGTTTTTAAACAGTAACGCAAGTAAATCATAATTTTAATGTTATCAAGAATATTAAGTTCTTGCATAGCTGCAAGGGTATATGAACTTCGGCTTGCCGAAGTTTGCTTCCGTTCTTGTTTTTATCTATTTTTCACATAGTAATAATTAGTTAGTTCAGAATTAGGCTTTAAACTTTATTTATCGGACAAATATACCGTAAAGCTTCCTTAGCAACGTAAATAATTGATCTAAAAATCATCATAGCTTTAATGTTTTTAAACAAATACGCAAATAATTCAATTAAATAATATAAAACTTATTCCTTGAGTCTTATTTTTTGGATTGAAAATTAAACTCGAACTCGATTTTGTTGAATATTTAACCGATTGTCGAAAAAGGGGAATAGAAATAGTGGACTAATGACAAAATTTTTAGATTTATTTTTAATTGGTACAAAAATAAAAAAAAAAAAACACAAATTATTGTTAAAAATTAACTCCAGTTCTTCCATATTACAAAAATAAGTTTTTACAAAGAGTCAGTGGAAAGATTTTATATCATAACCGTAGGGACCAATTTGAGAGCAATTTTTTTATTTTTGTACAAATTGGAAAAAATTAGGGATTAAAACCAAATCAAATATCGGTTTAGGTTACACTCACAGTTTCAACCAATATGTCTATTTCGATTTCGGTTTTAGCAAATATCTTTTGATTCGGCTACAGTTACGGTACAAAATATTGGTAACCAGTATTGTACTGAAGTAAATAAAACAACGTTTTTTATTTCAAACATAAGGTTTAATATGTTTATAAAAACATACATACAAATGTAGTAGCTAAACGCAAATAATTTTATAAGCACTGCTTATCACAAATTAATATATATGTATGTATATATATAATATTTTATTTTTAAAAATTTCTTTTTATTTTTGGTAAGTGTCGGTTCCAAGAAGAGTGTGTAAAATTTTTAGAAACTTGAAAATTATTTTCATGTACATGTACTTCGTATTTTTGGAAAACTATGTATATTATTATTACCGGCACTTGCACTTCTTTTTAAATGTATTGGTGCTGTATGTATGGTTATTGTATGTTGAACTTTAACACATATGCAATGAAGATCAACATCAACAAGAAATAAAGTCAAATAAAGTAAAATAAGTTCTAAACTTATACATGTACACAAACTTTGGCGCCAAAAATTGTCGCATTCAATATACATACAAAAATACATAGTACCCACATGCATAATAAACGGAATTTCAAACATATGTTTCTCTTCCTTGCGTGATATACTAAAATTCTTAGAAGTTATACGACTTTTATTAAAAATATAAAATTTTTTGGAACCGGTACAATTGTTTTGGTTTTGGTTACGGTTAATCCGGTTGCTATTTATTCTGGTTTTTGTTTCAGTTAGGCAAAAACAAGTTATTGCGGTTTGGGTTTGGTTACGACTTTTATTTGGTTATACCGGTTAAAACTAACGGTTAGGAAACCGGTTACCCAGAAAAAAAAATCTTAATAGACGTATTTCCATTCCGGTTTTTCGACAATCGGTTATACAAATTAATTATAAGTTCTGTTTAAGAATTTATTTTAAGATGCACTGTACTGTACGAATGAGAAGACTTTGTAATTGCGAGGTTTGACCGTCACGGTTTATTTCCAAAATTCAACTAACTGCTAAGTACATTAATTATTATAACGAAAGCTAGCCCTATGCCCTAGAACAGCTGACCCGGCTGCCCATGCATGGTGCTGCGTAGCCGCCGTTGCATCAGAGTGCATTGCGTTGATTGCGAGGACCGAAGCTTGGGATTTTGGCGACGTCGTTGTGGAACATCCGTAGGTGTCGCTGGCCTTGCATTATTTTATTCGATCAGCTTGGGAACTTGTTGCTGTGAAACCGTGTTAACTTACATATGTTCAAAACAAATCGAATTCGAGTTTTATTTTCAATCGAAAAAAACTCAAGGGATAAGTTTTATTTATTTAAATAAATAAAATAAAAAACTTTCAAGTCAAGCTTTATTTGTCAAGCTGTAAATAAAACTCATAAAATAATTATTAATTGTAGAGCTGAAAAAAAAAATAAAAAAATAACTGTTATTTGTTTTATATTTTTATAAAATGTAAAAAAGACTGCCATTTTGGGCGTAAAAAGTAGAAATTAAAAATATAATCGTTAAAAATACATTTGTTTAATTAAAACTTAAAATTTGTACGGTTTCTGGTAAAAACCAAGTGGTCCGCAAGTTTGAAACCGCTCAATTTTGTAACGAGTTAGTGAAAATAAAAGAGAAAGATTTTGCTATATTACAGAATAAATCTAAAAACATCGAATCGGTTAGACAAACAAATCTTCCAAAAATCATGGACATGGGCACCTGAGACTATCAATAAACTATTTTAAATTCTCTAATACTACTGGTTTTAACTGAGTGTAAACACTCATAGTAATAATCTCAGCTTTTTAAAAACATAAATTAACTCAATATATTTTATCGTATTTTTCAGCACTTTTAATAGAGAGAATCCAGAAAGATGCTAATTTATCAAAAGCTTTTGCGGCCTCTCATTTATTTAAAGTTTTTGAATGTTTATCTCTCAAAGAAATATTCAAAAACGAACGGTGCACTATTGCTCTTTTACATACAATTAAACGCTGTCTAAAATACTACCCAAAATCAACAAAACCTGGTACTTCATCTATTGAAGAGTTGTTAATAACATTAATAGACAGCAATAATGTTGATGTTGTTCATCAAACTGGCCAGTGTTGGCTTTTGTTACAGAATATACATGGTAACTCCAGAAATGAAAAAACTAA